ATGGCCAATACCTGCTCAGTTCATCAAAGCCAAGATTCCTAATTATCTCATAGCTAAATCAGTGGTAACAAGTTGCACTAACTCAGTTCTTGAATAGCTTAATAACACCATTGAAGAAACTTCAGTGAAGATGTCAAGAACAAAGGTAACGTCATTTGACACTGAGAAGGCACTACCCATTTAAGATTAAGTGGCTCCCACTAAAAACAGAAAAGTTGGTGGTTTGTATGCCACAGAAAATCAAAGGTTACATTGAAAAGAGAATAAAAGAAAGCAAAAATCTGAAAGAGTTATTAATGAATTATTGTTGTGCATTGTGAAAAAAGGAGCAAGTTGAAAGATAGCAACTAGAGGCCAGAAAAAAATGTTAAAGTTCAAAACATCAAGTAATTGCTTGAACAATTTCCACCCACTTTGACTGCATTCCATGGACTCTACACCAAAATGAATAGAATTATGTAGCAGGTAGTGCTGGGTAGATGTCACTCAAGGTAATCAGAACAAATTACAGATTTGACAGTCAGCCTGAACCCATGGATAAACTTTTGTGGCATATACTGTGTGCAATTTTTGCTGCTACTCGTATGTATCCTAGGAGTGTCTGCAAGCCAAAGTACTTGGCTATGCTCACTTCCTAGGCGGGTGGAAAAGGGTGGATAGGGAATGAGCACCACCTGAGCATTATGCTGCAGCTGGCACAAATCCAAGATGTTCTCCGGATGCTCCTGAGCTGGGCACACAGTTGGAAGGGCACAAACATCCTGGCTGAGGGACAGCTTCAGGCAAAGCCAGGATGCTCCCTATTCTAAAGGAAGCTCAGCGATAAAGTTTGTGTTCCTTCCAGATGAATGCTAACCTTCCCAACGGCTGGGGGATTCCTTGACTCCTGCCAACTTCTCCAGCCTCATCCTCAGCTAAGAGACATGCCTCTCAGCCAAGCGTCAGGCTTCTGCAAGGCAAAAGGAAAGGATGACTTTGCTCCCTAACAACCTCCCAACTCCTTTCTTGGCGCTTCTCATACATGCTTTAGGCAGATGACAAGGAGCCAAGGATCTTCTCACAACCTACCCCCCAGGCAGGATTTCAGCCAAGTGTCAGATTTAGAGAGGCCCAAGATTATGCCATGTGTATAGCTCATACTTCAGAGCAGCAACGTTTAGAGAAATTATTTGTGAAGTATTCAAAATGATGTGCTTTGTACATTTTCCCTTTCCTAATAGATCTCATATAGCAAAACAAACCAACCCATGGCTGTAGGTATGTTGCATTCCTGTCATCATTGCTGTTTTCCTTGGCTGTGTCTCCAAAAGCCACGCAGCCCAGAACAGTGTCTTTAATTGCTGGTGTGATCACAGTTGTGAGTTGGCCCTTCTCTGTCTCCTCCAGGTGAGAAGATGGTTGCTGGGATGTCACCTCTCTTGCAATCTTCACCTAGCCCTCTCCAGAGATGATTTACATATCCAGGCTTGCACACTGCTGGAAGCTCTTTTTGCAACTTTGCAGCAGTAACTTTGGCATATGCCTTTGTCGGATAGGCTAGTGTGCTGGCCTTGGTGAGTCAGGGCTCTTTGGGTAGGGCACATTTCCTAGGCGATTGGTATCATCATGTATTCAACAGCAGTCCCCATCATTCCCAGCGATCGCCATGCAGGCTGGGAATGTTGAGAACAGCAGCTCTGGAACACCCCAGGTTGGGCAAAGTATGCATAAATTGCGGGGAAAATCTTGCATTTCCCTGCCCCCCTTTTGTTGTTGCTTCCCAGTTTTTATTTCGGGATGCAGTCCTATGCATGTTTAGTCAGAAAAGTTCTAGAACTTTTCCAGCCAGCTGTGCTCTCAGCATTCCTCACTCGTAGCTGAGCGGGCAATGCTGGGGTGTTGGAGAACTTTTTTCTGTCTATACACACATAGCGTTGCACCCTTGGGTTGCAAAGCATATCTGCTGGGGAGCTTTCATAACTGCTCTTTGTAAAAGCCATGTACATGAATGGTGCTCTATCAACAACAGCATCGTTTTACTGGACTTGGATCCTTTTCTGTCATCTTGGCTTGGCAACCTCTCTTTGCTTCTTGTCTCTCAAATCTTCCTCTCCTGCACTTGCTCTTACAATTTCAGAAACTAATGTTTGACCTTCCTCAGATAGGCATTTTATGTGTACCTGGATCAACCCCTACTTCCTTTCATTGGAAGTTCTTGCCCTGTAAAGGTTCCCAGAGACTTAGCCTAGTCCTCAGATTCACCAGGGTCAGGATCCAGGAACTCAGCTAAACTTGGGAAACCAAAGGACCCAGTAACAGCCATGCAGCAGCAGCTGTTTCCACATTGCCTGGCTGACAATGGATCTGGCCTGTGTTCCAGGTTTTCGTGCAGTAATCATCTTCTTAAGGTGCAGACCTGGTTATCTATTATCCACCGTTCCCAACCGGTGCTGCAACATCCCCATTGTGGTGCAGTTGCTTTGCAGGCAAGTAACGTCCAAATATCGGATTTAGATTCAGGCCTGTGGATCTGTCCACTCCTACTCTTGGACTCCAGGGCACCGCCATCTATGGCGTGACCGGCGCATCCCGGATCCTCGAGATGGGACTGGGGCCCAGAGAGGGGCAGCCATTTCAGTCAACCTCGCTTTTTCACACACAGGCCTTCCCCTCCCCCCCCCCGATCCGCAGACAGGAGGACCCACGTGAAACGTGAAATTCCACGGCCCGCACATGGCGCGGGTTGGGCTCAGCGGATCCAGGGGCGCTCGCCCCACGGCGCTCTCCTGCTGCCGCCCTGTCATCTGCCTCCGTCCCCGACGCGTCGGGCTTCCAGCCAGGCGCCTCTGGGAAGAGCCGCTCGGACTTTTCTTCGCCTCCTGCCCCGGGCACGCGCGGCTGGCGGCCTCGGCCGGCGCAGGCACTGGGAGTGGGAGTGGGAGTGGCGGCCACGAAGGCGCTTCCCTGCCCACCCTCGGCGGCCCCGGCAGCGCGTCCCCCGGCGCCCCAGGGGAGCCTCCGCGCCGCCACAGCCCGGCTTGCGCTCGGGGGCGCGAGGCAGCAGCGCAGCGCAGAGCGCTCGTTCCGCACCCGCGTCGCTCCCGGAGCCTGGCCGGGATGCCGCCTCCCCGCCCCCAATCTCCTCCCGGGCTGGCTGGGCTGCGAGGCAGTGAGCCCGCCCTGGGGAAGCGCTGCTGCGCGCAGCCGGGCGCTAGCGTAGCGCGGGTCGCCAGAGGCGCCTGTTGTGTCTGGGGGCTGGAGCGGCCTTTCCCGCCCGCTTCCCTGTCCGCGGCGCTGCCACTGCGATCTGGGTCGGGCGAGCGGGGGCAGGGGGGATAGGGCGCTGTGCCTGGCCGAGCGCTGGTCCCCGGCCCTGCGAGGGCGAGCGGAGCAGCCAGCAGGCAGGTGGGGCGCGGGTCGCCTGCCGTGGTCTGTGTGCGGAATGACTAAACGTTTATCGGAGGCTTTCGGCGTCGCCTGCACAAGCACCGCTCAAATCGCTCGCCTCGCCTCGCCCGCGCTCCGCTACCGCCGTCCCTCCACCTCCCGCGGCGCTCCTCGCTCCCCCCGCGTTTTCCTATCTCCTGCAGCGAATTAAATATTTCGTAGCGTAATTGAAGAACCCAAGTGTTTCTTCCTAATTCTCCCCCCCCCCCCACTTTCGCTGTGCCAGCCCCGGCAAGGCGAGCACTTCAACCCCGCGTCCCGCATCCGTTCAATGAAGCAGCGCAGATCCACGGCGGCTCCAAGTGAGGTTTTGCAGGAGGAGGAGGAGGAGGAGGAGGAAGTAGTGGCGGCGGCGGCAGAGGAAAGGAGCTGGCGGCGGCGGCGGCAGCAGGCATATTTGCAAGGAAGCCTTTCAGGTCTCGCTTGGCTTCTGGGGATTTAAATGTCACTCAAAGCATCCCCAAATCAGCTCGCTGCTCCTCTCCGCTTCCTTCGGCGGCACTGATTCGCGCCCCGAACGTTGCATTTCTGCAGCTTTACTACCCGGGAAGGTAAGGAGGCTGTGAGCGCAAATGCACCGCGGGGGCAGCGGCATGGTCACTGGCAGCCCAGACTCCTCGCCGGGGTAACTTCCCCTCCTCGCCCTCCCCCACCCTCCCGCTCAGCCTTTCGCGCTACGCTGGTGCATTTCGGCACGACCGCCCTCCCGTCTTGCCCATTAGAGGGGACAATTTTAAAAGCGAGAGGGAGAGGAGGAAGACGTGGCCTTTGGAATCAGCCCCTTGCATGATGTAAAGGCTGAATCGCGCTCACTCTGCCCGTGTAAAGAATCCCGAGGACCGTAGACGCGATAACGTCATTCACCGCCCCCCCCCGCAGCCCTTCATTTTTGTGCCCCTAAGACCACCTCTCTTTCCCCCCTTTCTTCCTTGCTTTCCGGAAAAGCTGCCAGCCAGCTACCCCCTTCCAAGAAACTCGTCATCATCGCCTATTCCCCCTTCCCCCAAATGCTATAGGCTGAGCCCTTTCCAGCCACCCATCGCAAACTCGGACCCCCTCCCCCCGTAGCTTCACCCACCATTTGCTATTCCCAAGGAGCACAAAGTCTACCTGCCCCCTCCCCCCATGCACGCGTTGCGTTCCCATTTTAACCTCTTTTCCTCTCAGTTCCTAATCCGATTTTGCACATTTCTTCCTTTAAACTAGGTTGCAAAACTGCTGTAGCTTGCAACTCTTGAAACTTCCTCGGGTGCTGTAGTCCACGTAATATTAGTCAAAAGGCAACAAAATACACTTCATCCTCCGCGGATTACTTTTTTAAAATAATAACAATAATGATGCATTTCCTTCTTCCCCTTTAATTTTTTTCTGTCCTTTTCTCTCTCGTTTTTTTAATTTTTTTTTTTTTTTTGGCAAGAAAATTTGCTCCATCTCCAGCAGCAACCACTGCTCCTTTTGATGTTGTGGTACGCCGTGCGCATGCGCTCCACATTAGAATTACTGCACTGGCTAGAATAAGTTGGATCTCTTCTTCTCTTCCACTGAAACCTTAAATCATATCAAAAGCTAAAGGGATGCTGAGAGTCCGGAAAAAAGGTTGCTTTGGGATTTGGTCGTTGCCTTTAATAATAACAGTGGTGTGTGCACAGAGGTAAGTGATCAAAGCATCCTTCTCCCCCCGCCCTTCACTTTGAATTGTACTGTATGCTTCTGTTAAACTGGGAGGTGCAGAATTCGTCTTGAGAGTTAGAGAAAACCGCTTTGTATTTATATATATATTTTAACCCTTCTCTTTAGTGCTAATGATCCCAGCAATATGTCGCTGGTAAAAGAGACCGTGGATAGACTGCTGAAAGGCTACGACATTCGACTGAGGCCAGATTTTGGAGGTAATTCGATTGCTTTTGTGAGAAAAGCCTTCTGCACAACCAAGCTTGCCTCTTGTCGTGACTGATACGTGTGTCTGCCCGAAACGTGTTGGGTGCCGCTTCGGGTCTGCCTGCCTGCCTGCGTGTTGCCATTTTCTGAAGCTGGACCCAAAGTTGAGCCCAATGTTCCTTTGCACAGAACGGCTGTAATGTGTATACATGTCACCGCCTCGTCGTGAGAAGGAGCGCGTGTGTGTATCATTTATTAACCCGTAATTAAAGCTTTGCTTAATTAGCCTTATTGAGATGCAAATCTCCTGAGTTTACCTAGCGCCCGTTGCACGGAGTCTGGTGTGCCTGTGGTCGGTCACAGGGAATTTTGTGGAGTGCGAGGTGCACCGCTAGCCGAGGGAGACCGCCAGCCAGCCAGCCAGCCAGCCCCCCGTGAGCTTTGCATTGGGAGAGCGATTGCCGCGGCTCGCTTGCCTGTGCATGTGTGTTTCAGCTCGCTGGAGCTAGCAGGGAACCCCTGGATATAGGAGGCGCGCTGTTGCCGCTCCGGGGAGCATTCAGCGGCCGGAGCCCGGGCAAGTCGTTCCGACTCCGGACCGGTTCTCTCCAGCCCGTGCTTGCCCCTCGCCCGCCCGGGCTTGAGACCGCGCGGCGGGCAGCAACGGAAGTGCCTTGCTTTAAACTCAGTCTCGGCAAGTCGGCGGGGTGTATCCGCGGCCGAGCACCGAAAGACACTTCAGCCTGCTCTAAACACACGTGTGTGCGTGTGTTTGTGTGTGAGAGAGACTTATATAAAGCGCTCCTCGTGCCTGGAAAGAATGCAGGGCAAGCTCGTGGCTGAACCGAGCCCGAATCTTAGCCGCCCTGTGCCCCACCCCTTCTTTAGACCGAGCGATCCTTGCCAGAATGAGTTAAATTGCGAGAGATCACAGTGCGGACCATCTTGTCTTGCAGGTCCCCCTGTGGCTGTTGGCATGAACATAGATATTGCCAGTATAGACATGGTATCAGAAGTCAATATGGTGAGTATTTTCTCCCTTCCCCACTCGCTCACTCCACCCGCCCCCTTTCCATATGGTTGACTTGGGCGTGTGGAATCAATAACATCAGCTTTCCTGCGAGTGCAAATGCAGGTTCTGATTATTTTGCCATATTTCTAATCAGCCACCAAGATGCACCTGTGTTTTCCAGTTATTGAGGCCAGCTTCTCACCCCTCAAAAACAGCTTTCCCTTCTGCTTTCTTAGCGTGGCTCTAAGGGCAGGATGGAATGAGGTGTGTGGGACAATTTGAGGTTTTTGAAATTAAAATCTAGAACCAGCAGATTTTCAGAAACAAAACCAAATTTTGGTGAGAACATGGTGTATGGTGGAGGGACAGACTTGAATAAGGCCTGCCTCTCGGTTTTAATACCTGCAACTTAATACCTAAAGGCTTCTGAACATTATGATTTGCAGTGTGTTAAAAGCTAGTCTGATTTATTGACAGCCTTACTATTTAGCAGATTCCATTTCAAATATACAGTCAAGCACTATTCAGAGACTTGGGGAACAATTCTGGCCTTCTTTTGCTTCATGCAGGAGTGCCCCCTGCTGACACCAGTTCGTTCTACAGCTCACAGACAATATTTCTTTGACAGTTGGGTCAATTTACTAAATTGTTTTAGTCAGAGTGAGTGAAATTGAGATGAATGTTGTACGCTGAAACAAAGTTGTAGTTTGCTGACGTACATTGTTTAAATGCATGTTTAGAGATCACACAGAGAAGTGGAAGTGTACACAGCTTGAACTCAAATTTAACAAACTCAGTATAATGATCCTTTAATTTATGTCGTATGCATTTCTATTTTTAGAGAGTTGGCGGAGCAATTTGAAAACAAAAGTTTGTATTTGTTAGGAAGACCAGTCTCTTGCAGGATAGTATAGTGGAGGCAAGGGTTTTTTGTTTTGTTTCTAAAGAAACCTTTTTGCATATCACCTGAGTTAATTGCAGTGTTAATGTGTCAGACTAGTTAATCTGACACAGCTAAAAAAAAAGGTTGTTGAAAGATGGTAGATAGCCTGCTTGTATTTCTTTTACTCAGGCCTTTAATGAAGTGCAGAAACTACTAAAGAGAACTGGAATTAATAAATGGTTTCTTTAAAAACTTGCAGTTATTATGACTAGTGAATTCCTTTCCAGTACTGAATAATGCTGAATAAATATTCCATTTATGCTAGAGATTTTCCTGAGCATGCTTGTATTTCTGATGGTTTCTTAGCAGATTCGGTTCATGTCATTGACATGACATGAATTAACACTTTTCCATTACTGGTGTATAAGTAGATAAGGTTGCATGATATTTCTTTTCTGTGCTGAGCTACTGTGCATATTTTCTTGATACAGGCACAATATTCTGTAGTATCAAACAGTAATACATTGTAAATACTTGTGTTAATGTCTGGTTTTATTGCATCGTGTTGTCCATATGTCTAAAACTGTTCTTGATTGCTAAGGCCCTTCTGACTTCAGTTTACTCACCTTAAGTCACTCTGAGTTCTAATATGTCTAATGAGCATGCAAAATGAAAACACTTTTGCAGTTTACACTGATCTTTGACTTTTGATCACTATTGCATGAGCATCTTTTAGCACATATACCTGAATAGGCCAGAAAATGCAGTTCTGCTTTTGAAACTAGTTCACCACTGACTAAAAATAACCTAGTTAATGCATAGTATATCTTACTTGCATTATATTTGCATAGTATAGTATACTGTCTTTGGAAAATAACAGCATTTATTTTGTTTGGGGAATTCATTTCTTACTGCCTGAAACATTGATCTGCAAGGCTGGTGTTACATGAAAACGACTTCTGATACATATGCTGTTACCACTAACATCTCTCCTCCACCACACACCCTGGGTGTGCTTTGTTAAGAAGATACTGACTGTTAAATAACATCCAGAAGTTTGAAAGGTGAAACTTTAATAGCAGATGGAACAGTGTCCAGATAAATAGTGAGCATTGTGTGTTAAAAAAAATATTCTTAGCCTTACCTTTGCAGTTTAACGTTGGATGAAAGTGATTTGGCCTTGTTAAGGCTTCTTTTAATCTGGTACTTATCAGATGACCAAAATAGTCAGAGCACATCTCATTCATGGCGAATATGAGTATGGGTCTGTACTGTGCAAGGAGAGCATTTTCAGTCATCTGAAATGTTATCTGAAGATACTTCAGTTTTTCAAAAACAAAATCCATTCATAATTCACTAAGCATTTCCAGACTAGTTGCCTGAAATTTGGTCACGGAAAGTTTTATAACTCTCTGTGGGTTTTACTTACCATTGTGTCACATTTCATTCCTGTCATTAAAAGGGACATACTGGTGAAAATTGATCTTGTCCAGGATTACAGGAACAAGCCGTGGAGTCATTCATAAACTCCCCCTAAGCATGTCTTCTCTCATGTTGAGATGTTCTTCACTGGCCTGCACCGTGGTGAAGAATCAGGTCAGCACCTCTAGGACCCATGCTGAATACCGACTGTGGTTTGCTCATCGGCAGGTCGCAGAGCTAATTTACAATTTCGGTCAACCCGGTTAATCTTAACCATGGTTGTCTGTTGGTCTGATGCAATTCATCCCTGTGATTTAAGCCAGGTGTAGAAAATGTGTGCGTAGGAATGGAAGGCCTAGTGGTCCCCCTGGTCTGTCCCTGATACCTGCCATAGCCAAGGCTGCTCACTGACTTACGACTAAAGCACATGAAGCCCATGGAATTGTTTTTGAAGAGGCGCGCATAGGAATGCGGTTCCTCAGATCGTGACTGGGTGCTTAACCTGGGACTGTCCAGTCAGAAGCTTGACTCTTGAGAGGCATTCTGCTTGGTTTAGGGTTTGACTTCAGTTACTGGAGCGAGTGAACTTTTTCTCTGAAGTGCATTGTAAAGTGTTGCTCCGGTTCATCAGGAAGGCCAAATTTACTGTCAGTGTTGGCAAACACAGCTAAACCTGGATGGAAAAATGGGATTTCTACAGAGCAACCCTGTGAATGTTTACTCAGAAGTAAGCCCCATTGTATCTAATAGGGATTACTCCCTTGTAAGCATATGGAGGATTGCACCCATAGATACTGAACTTTACTGGTGTTTGCTTAAATACGTTGATGCGTAGCTAGTGTGACAAGCTGTGAGTTAGGATGTTCCCTTCACATGCACATCTTCTCCAATTAGGTTGTTCAAGTATATATGAGTGAAAAATGCTGGAGAGTATGCAGAAGTGAAAGGCTGGAGATCTATTTGAGCCAGCAGGCCAGTTGCAAGCTATTTGAACCAGCCATTAAGTGCTATAGAAATGAAACAGAGCCTCCCAGGGAAATTCAGCTGTTGGACACTATGCAAATTAAGTAAATAAATAAATGTAATCGCAATAGGACTAACCTGTGAGAGCAAACCGATGCTTTAAAAAAAGTTTGTTAAAAACGAATTGGCATATCAGACCATTGCCGCAGTCATTTCCACTACTGGAATGTTAAATGCCAACAAACAGTACTTTATCCCCAGGATGTTTCTTGTTTATTTTTGTTGGCCATTAAACCTGCATGTATTTCTGCTTGATAATACATGTAATGTTGATAATACATGCTGGTAATGTTTCTCTTCAAGGAAATGTAGCTCCTGGGGATAGATCACTCAAAAATGCAGTATTTTGCTACTTAGGAAATGTAATTTCTAATAGTACTTTCTCTGTTATGTTTAGATTTGATTGAGAGTATACACATTTTGCAGGCGTGCGTGGCACAAATCCTTCCTTTCCAATGCTATCGTGTGATCTTACTTACACAAGTAGAATGCCCTTCTAGGCTACAGGAGTGCAAAGTACAGGAGTAAATATGAGTTACATGCCCTTAATATTGGTAATGCAGTTGAAATCACATTAGATGCAGTTTCTCACTTTTGTATGACTCACGTGGCAGCAAGTGTCAGGCCCCACTGACCTGTGTAATGAGCAAACTTCAAAACATTCATTTTTCTAGATAACAAATATTAAGTGGCTGCATTTTTGAATCTTGAATATTCATACAAAATTTAAATTCCATGTTTCATCTAGTTTTACCTTGTCTGTGCATATGTTCTTGCATATAAAGTCATTAAGATGGAGATTTTACTAGAACCATCTGATGACTTAGGAAAACAGATTTGCATTTCAGTTCATCCTTGTTCATCATTTTGCAGCATATTAAATACATGGCGTTTTTATTCCTAACATACACATTTTCTGTGACAAACCAGCATATCTGCACCACCACCTTGCAAGACTGCAAGTCACCTTTTGTCTGTGTTCCTCAAAACGTGGCTTCTCCTGAGACTTCAATACCCTGCTTGGAAGAGTTAAAGCTTATAGCTGTTATGTATAGAGGAGGATATTCCCCCCTTCAGGGGTTCCTTTAAACTCCTTAATAACCCCCTTAATATTTGCCAAGTAGGCTAGTGAAGATATTAGCCCAACTGCAGGGCAAACAAGAAAGGTAAACCAACTCCAGTTTCCAAACCAATACACTTATTAAAGAAGCAAGCAGAAAAAAGTTGAGAAAGTCAGTTGCTTTTAAAAGTAAACTAAAACATCTAGTTGCTTCCTTAAACCATTTTTGCAGGATCTTAAGTTTAACTCACCAACGTAGCTTACAGGTGGTGTGAAACAGGAGAATAATACGCTGCATCCTTCCTGTCCACAAAGACAAGGGGGTTTTCCTGCATAGACACAGACAAGGGGATTCCTGGGGGCCAGGCAGCACCCAGGGAAGTGAAGTGAAGGGAACAGTACCAGTTAATGGTTTGAGGAGGGCCTCATCCTGCATCCTCCCACTGACGTCTGCTGGCCTATCACCCTATCACAAACTGCACCAACTCTCTGAAAATTCATAATATCATCATTATAACCTGCTAACAGAATGGACTGTTCTCACTTAAATAATGTTTAGCCTAGGGGGTCTACCTTGAAAATGTAAATTGAAATTAAAATAATTTGCATGGAATTGCCTTAGAT